TTTTTTAAATCATTTTTTCCTTTTGGTTTTCTGATTGGTTGATTTTTTTACCCTGTCTCTAATTCACTGATTCGGTCCTCAGCTTTCTTGACTCTGCTGTTTAGTCCTTCCAATGTATTCTTTATTTCTGATATGTTGTTCTTCATTTCTTCTTGGTGGTTCTTAATTTCCAACTGGTTGATTTTCAACATTTCTACGTCTTTACTTATGGTGCTCATATCCTTACACATGCTGTTTAGCTTCCTCAAAATCATGGCTCTGAATTCTAGTTCTGTTAACTTGCTTAACTGCTCCACATTTCGGTAGAGGTCTCTTGTTCTTTCCTTTGGCTTTTGTTTCTGTGTTTCACCGTTTTGGCTATCACAGTGGGCTTTGGAGCCTGCCAGATTTTCCCTGTGGATGTTGGTGGTCTGCTCTTTGTGGCTCCCTCTACTGGGTTTGGATGAGCCTGGGTGGCCCCATGTTAAATACCACTGTCAAGTCTTACTTTCCTGGGTAGATTTGCAAGCCCAGGAAAGGTTCAGTTATCCCCTAACCTTTTCCTGGTGGCTAGTAGCTTCAGTTACTCAGTGCCTTGGAATGTAGTCCTGCTGTTCTGCCTTAGAAGATTTCCAGATGGTGGGATAGATGCTGGTTGTTAATGAGCCTCAATTTTTATTTCTTTGCTTCACCTGGGAAAGGCTAAATATCCGAGGGGTGGGGGCTGCTGAATTTCCCCACAGCTCTGGGAAGGAGCACACTGGCCACAGTCCTTTGTGGCTACAAATCAGCTAAAACTCTGAGTGCCCTCCAAATCCCGGGTGCCCCAACAGAGTTCCAGCCCAGTCTGTCCTCCCTTCCCAGTAGCCCCCAGGTGAGTGGTTGTGGCTATTATAGTGCTCTGTCCTGGCTTTCTGCACTGTGGAGCAGGCTTGTTCTTTATTCCCCAAGTGCACTGCTCACAGGTAAGACTGCTGCTGTCAGTGGGCTCCCAGCCCGCCATCATCTCATGCCTTCGCAGATCCTACCAGTGTCCCTGGTTATATGGTCCTGTCCTGCAGCTCTTCTATTGCTTTTTTTCCCCAAGGATTTGTCTTTATTTTAGTTGTAATTCCCATTTGGTCCTGGGAGATCATCTGCGTGGCTTTTATATACTCCGCCTTTTTTTTTATATATATCCTCTAAGCCTATCTTGTGTGCAGCTGGGTCCCACAGGCCTTTCTGGTGTCCCTGCACCCTGTAGGTCTCACGGGTAACTGGATCGCACAGTCTCTCTGGGGACCTGGCTCTATGCCTATGTTATGTGCTTCTGGGTCGCACAGACCTCTCTGGTGCTTCAGCAACCCAAAGGCCCCATGAGTAACTAGATTGTGCAGTCCCTGCTGGGTGGCACAGGCCTCTGTGGTGCTTCAGCACCGTGCAGGTCCTGCGGGCAACTGGATGGCACAGTACCTGCTGGGTTGCACAGGCCTCTCAGGCGACCAACACCTTGGGAGCTCCGCTACTGTGCACCAATCTGTGTTGACAGGGTGTCCACTGGTCTGATGGTTCAGGTGCACTGTTGAACTCAGGTTGCTGGGCCCCAGCCGCTCCCACTGCCTCCTCCCAGAGAAGACCCGGGATCTTCCAAAATGGTGAGACCTCCCCATGGCGCAGAGAAAAGAGCCCTGAAGAGCCACTTACCCAGGTTGCTCCCTTCCATAGCTCCCTTCAGCCAGTTGCTCCCTTCCACAGCATAGGAACCTTCTGCTCTGTGTCTCTGCACTGCTCTGGTTTGGTCGTCCACTCACACTCTCTCACACACTCGCTCACTCTCTCACACACTCACCCTCCCTCTGGTCCTGCCTGCTGCCATCTTTTTCCTATTAATTAATTAATAAATTAATTAATTTTTATTACAGATGTTTCTCCTTTTTCCCCCCACTGATACCCCCTCGCACCCCAGTGAAGCCACTGGTGAAGAGGGGGTGTTGGGAGAGAGATAAACCACAGAACCTATATGCATGCATGCATAAACAATGGACATGGACAACAAAGCTGGGGACAGGGTGGGGAGGGAGGGTGAGGGGGGAATCAGTGGGTGAAAAAGGGGAAACATCTGTAACAAAAATAAATTAATTAATTAAAAAAGAAAGAAAGAAAGAAATAGCAAAAGAAATAACATAGAAAAGTTCCCTCAAATTGAAATTTTCATAATGAAAGGGCTCACTTAGTTCCCAGCAATGCTAATACAAAAAGACCCACATTAGGACACATCATTATGAAGTTTCAGAATATCTAGGTAAAAAGAAAATTTCTAAAATTTTTCAAAGAAAAATAAGAAGGATCAGACTTCTCAACAACAACAGTGGATTCTAGGAAACAATGCAACAGTAAATTCAAAGTTCTAAGGGAAATTTATTTCAGCCTACAATTCTATATCCAGACACACTCTCAATCAGATGGGAGCATGTAATAATAAAATCATAAACACTCATTTTCCTTATACCCTTTCTTAGACCCTCCATCCCATCATGGTTATCAACACATGTATTTGCTCCATTCAGGCCAGATTTCCTACAGCTCATTTTCACTGCGGTACTTGCTTCCCTTGGCCTCCCTCCACTCATATGCCTTTTCCCTTCCTCTGTGCAGTCAGAATCCTACCCATTCTTCAAGGCCCTGTGCTAACCCAGCAGCTTAATCACTCTAGGTCACACACATCAGCACTGATCTGTTTACCTTTTGACTTCTCAGGTCTCTAGAATCTCTACTGTGCCTATACCACTTGCCTGCATTTTGTCTGAAATCACCACCAAAATTGGAATAGTATCATTCACACTGGCAATGTACAGTGAATGGCAAATAGTAGGTGCTCTATAAACATTTGATGTTTACCCTAGTTTATTAGAGTAATCCAATTCCTAACTCAACTGTCTTTTTATGATACCATGGTACCCAAGATATTTTGGAGTTTCATTAAAAAAATTTATTTAAGCCCTGGCCGGTTTGGCTCAGTGGTTAGAGCGTCAGCATGCGGTCCAGAGAGACCAGGGTTTGGTTCCTGCTAAGGGCATGTACCTTGGTTGCAGTTTGTCCCTGGCCCTGGTTGGGTTGTGCAGGAGCCAGCCACTCAATGTGTCCCTTTCACATCAATGTTTCTCTCTCTCTCCCTCCCACTCTATCTGAACAAAAAATGGGAAAATGTCCTCGGGTGAGGATAAAAAAAAAAACTTATTTAATAAACTCTCAAGAATTTATGAATAGGAAATACCTCCAACTTTGCAAGGGCAAAAGTAACTTAGAGATCGACTTCATATTACATTTAATTCAGTGATGAACAGTGGCTTTGTTTACTAAACAATTGCAGATCTTGATTGCAAAATCAATTCGACCTAAGGCGGGGGAAGCATATTATGACACACTTCATGGAAGATGTCCTTTTTCTGTTATTAATTAAATGATAATACAAGCCAATTCATGCCACGTCTCACTATTATTTTCTAAATTCTATGCAAACAGAACCAGCTTCAACTGAAGAGAGGGAGGAATGAAGAGCCTTCTGCTTCTATTTGTGCTCCCCATAATGTTGTCTTCTGCATTTCCTACAGACCGAAAGATAGAAGATGAAGAAAACACACAACTGGCTCAGGTACTGGCTTAGTAAACGCTATTAATGACTATCAATTAAAAACTTATTTTATTGATTGTCTTGGGACCAAAAAAGACAGCAAATTCTTAGAAAAGAGTCCTGAACTCTCTCGTGAGAAGGAGCTGCTTTTCATTTCCCTAGTTCCAAGGACATGAAGAAACTGTATGTGTGCAGGGGTGTGGGGGTGAGGAGGTTGAGAGTGAGGGTCCCGTGGGGGGAAAGGCAGGGTTTGCTACAACCTTGAGCAATGACAACAAGTGAAGAGCTAGTGAGAGGAGAAAGGGTACAGCCCTGCAGACAATGGAGCTCTTTATAAAAGCATTTTAAGACAAGCAAGGAGGAGCCAACTACAATTTGGATCCCCTGTTTCCTCTGTTATGAAAAACATATTGCTGTGGTGATTCCTTCTAAAAAATCAGTCCAGTTAGTTTGCCATGTTTGCTTAAATCAATTAAATTTGCAAAATAAATAATCACCTATCTTTCTAGAATTTGTTTCAAGGAAAACACCAAAATGAATGTAACAGTAAAAATATGTAAAATACGTGATCATTTAACACATAGCAGAAACCTGATTCTCTTCTGTGGAGGTTTGGAGTTTTATGGACTGAGTAGTTTGGCCAATTCTGGTGACACATGGCTCAACCTGTTTTTGAAACAAGAAACAGGGTAACTCTTGCCTTTCCCCTTTGTTCCCTTCTTGTTTCCCTTGTTTCTTCCTCATTCTCACTACTTATTTTCTTCCCCTCCTTGAATGCCAAAAAAGGATTTCAGAGGATTTTTTTTTTTTATCCTGAGATGGAAATTTGCTTTCCTATATAGTCTGTGCCTTTTTTGTCTTTTTGGTCAGGCATATCTCAACCAGTTCTACTCTCTTGAAATAGAAGGGAGTCATCTTGTTCAAAGCATGAACAGGAGTCTCATAGACAGCAAAATTCAGGAAATGCAAGCATTTTTTGGATTGACAGTGACTGGAAAACTGGACTCAAACACTCTTGAGATCATGAAGACACCGAGGTGTGGCGTTCCTGATGTGGGTCAGTATGGCTACACTCTCCCTGGGTGGAGGAAATACAACCTCACATACAGGTAATACTTCTGTCAACTTATTTCTCTCCAAAGGAACATGAATATAATCTCCAAAGAACAAAAATAATAATTGTTTATTTTACTGCACACCTCCTATGTGCATGACACTTCATAGATTTTATTTATTCATCCTCACAACAAACTGTGGTGTAAGCACCACTGTTACAGTCACCTTAAACACAGAGACACTGAGACCAAAGGCTGTTTCCCAGAGTCCAGGTTACAGAGCTCCCGCCAGCAGACTGGCTCTGGCAGGTCTGCTCTAAGATTTCCAGCCTTGCCCGCCTGCCTCGGCCTCAGCCATGGCCAGTAGTAGTGGTGCCGGGGCAGCGGCGGCGGCGGCAACAACGAATCTGAATGTGGTGAGGGAACCCATGGACGTTCTGTTCGAGATTTCAAGAATTTTGAATACTGGGTTAGATATGGAGACTCTCTCTATTTGTGTACAGCTTTGTGAACAAGGAATTAACCCAGAAGCTTTATCATCAGTTATTAAGGAACTTCGCAAGGCCACTGAACACTGAAGGCTGCTGAAAATATGACAAGCTGACTTTCTGGAGAAATCCCAGTGAGATGTCAAGCTCGGCAGAGGATTTGGAGATTGCATTGTAGTCAAGAATGTACAGTGAAATTACTACATCAGAAGTGTAGCAACATTTTCCTTTTTTAAAAAATTATAAAACCATAGCTTTATAAATTATTGAATAGTGGCTTACAGAAAGGACTATCAGATGTGTGTACGTCACATCTTACTTTTTAAAACCCCTAATGCTTTGGCATTACAGTATTCATATTTATTCTTTATTCATAGATCTGATAGCTTTCATTTTCTAAGCATCTGTCTATCAGATGTGCACATCTGCTGTGCCTGTTTGTAGGATAGTGGAACCCATTAGTAATAATATAGTAGTTATGACTTGCTGACATTTCTATTATAAACTTTAATTTTAAATTGTTTATGTAAAATAACTATAGATTTATGTTGCATTGGTCTGAAAGTTGACAGAATTTCAACCACCATTTGTGAATTTTGATTTAGATTCATTATGTATATCAGAATCTTGTTTTTTTAAGAGCACAAAAAACATTTGTTCTAATTTGATCTTTAACAAAGAATATTTAATTTTTAAACATAAAGTTTGTCTGGCAGTTAATAGTGTAAACCAGATCAATTTTGTATTGGTTGAAAAATAAAACTTTTAGAAACTTAGATTTTAAAAGTAATGATAGTACTTAGCTTAGTATTATTTGTCAGTTAAATCATTTAATGAGAATATTAATTGAGAATGTTTTTTCCCTTAGTTTTATACTCTGAAAATGATAAAACATTGTCAACATGCAAAATTCTTTTTACTCTTATAAAAATAATTTGTGCTTGCCTAATATGTCTTAAGCTGTCATCTAATAACTCAACAGATAGCTAATGGTTATCTGATCACTAAACAGGAATTGTCATTCAACAAATATGTTACTAATTTTTGAAGGAATAAAGATTTCTAGTCATTAAACAAAAACTAAATAATCAAATGTTCCATGTCTTTCTAAGATTTTTTGTGTGTCATTATTTTTACTAAAAAGTTTTAACTAATCAAAATTTGCTTTGTAATAAATTTTGATTCTGTTTCTGTAACAAAATCTCAATGGAATTTTTCCCCAAGACTAATACAAATTTAATTTGATTTTATTTTAGATTTTGTTAGCTTCCATTTAAATGACAGTATAAGCATTTACTCTTTAGTAGCATTTTTTTGTTCTTCAGATAAACTGACATGATTTCAATAAGACTTAGTAATATTTAAATGACAACCTTATATACTGTTTTAAAAATCTAATCTTTTGAACATTTTGACTTTTTATGGATGACATTTTTACCAATGCATTGGAAGGTCTATTACTGGGAGAATTATTTGGAAGACAGTAAGAACTTGTGATGATCAGTCATTCATCTGCTAATAATACTGTAAATACTTCATGTTATTTATAAAATTATAGAACACATTTGTCAAGTTACAAACTTTGTAAATATTTTTATGCCATTAGAGTTAATAGTTTAATTGTTTATGACTTTGTAGATTAAGTTATTTATGTATGAAACAAAGCAGTAAAATATATTGAGGAGTTAAGTTCACAGAGGACTTTAGTATGTTACATTTCTTAAATGTAAATATTTTTAATTCATACTTAAGTAATATTTAAAGAAACCAAAGTAATGATACAATCACAGTGTAGTGCATGTTGTCGGTGACAAAAATAAAATCATTTTGGTAAAAAAATAAATAAATAAAATCACTAGCCTTTGCCATCTCCATATAAGCTCAGGACCAGACGCCCTGCTATCTGATTGCAGATGCTTGAAGGTACAGATGAAGTGTGCTGCAGAGAAAATGGGAAGACCTTAGAGATGTGTGTGAAGCTATCAAATCTCTGATGGACCCGAGTGAAGCATGGAGTTTGCTTCCAAACATCTTAAAGAAAGGGACTGGCTTATTGTCAGGAAGAGATAGAGTCACTGACCTTGACTGTTGCTCCAGACTCCTCCTGGCTGGCCCTAAAGAGTTTTCTGATAGTTCTTCCTTCATTTTATTGAGTCTTAGGGGTTGACATAAAAATCGGTTTAGCAAGATAGGTAATATAAAGAAAAGGAAAATCTTTTTCTGAGTAACAAACTATGACTCTCAAGTGAGACTCCTAGCATATGACGCATGCATATGGCTGATTTCTACAAGCCATTTGAAAAAATCTCAATTGTTTTTAAAATGTTTATAACACATTCATATACACAGCTAACATATCTATGAGATTAATGTTGTCCCATTTAGAGGATGATCTTAGGGAAGTCATTTAACCTTTTTGAGCCTCATTTGTTAAAGTGTTATAATACAACCTGATTAATAGGATTGAAAAGGAACTTTATTTAATAGTAAAGTATTACACAAGTATAAGTATAGCTCCAAACCAGAAGTTACTGCAGCATATGATTCATAAGATAGAAATTGTTTTCTTTTTGTTGTATGTGTGCATACATACATGTATAACCACCAATTGACATATTTTGTTAATTTTTAAGAATTGTTAACTACACTCCAGATATGGCACGCGCTGATGTGGATGAGGCTATCCAAGAAGGCTTTGAAGTGTGGAGCAAAGTTACTCCGCTAAAATTCACCAAGATTTCCAAGGGGACTGCGGATATTATGATTGCCTTTAGGACCCGAGGTAAGGTCTAAAATAGAGAAAAAATATGGTTATTTTCATCTCAAGGCTTTGAAGAAGCTAATCTTATTCCCCCTGTGAATTGTGTCTCAGTCCATGGTCAGTGTCCTCGTTATTTTGATGGCCCCTTGGGAGTCCTTGGCCATGCCTTCCCTCCTGGTCTAGGCCTGGGTGGAGACACTCACTTTGATGAGGATGAAAATTGGACCAAGGGTGGAGCAGGTAAGCCCAATTTTCTTTATGAACAAAATTCTATTATTCTAAAGAATCCCTGAAAATAGCTTTGCAATTAGTAGCTTTTTACTGTCCAATTTTCTCACTATTTTCCACATTCTAAGATAATGGATTAAAGTGTTCACTATCTATTCAGACAATTGTACTTATACAGTTCAGAGCCTTATCCACACAATACTCTCACAAAGTTGCTAATCTTGTTATGATCAGAACATTCTTTACTTACTCATATTCATTTATACACTCACAACGCCTGACAGATCATTAAGTGCCTGGAATTATGCAAGATGTTGTCAGAACCACAGGGTTGTACTAGAAAAGTCCCAGTCCTTCAGAGGTTCATGATCTTGTGTGGTATGTAAGGCCTAAATACACACCACCATACAAGGCAGAATGTGCTGTGTGTTGTACCAATGGTGGGTGAGGGTTAAAAGAAGCTTTGTGGGAGGTGGTAATTTTTAGTTAATGATAGAAAGATGGTGTGCGAGTTTGTGGCCCATAAAAGGTCTGTTTATAAGCATGAACTTCCTCTTCTAACTCTTGCCCATCCATTAAGGAATTAGAGACTCTAATCTTTACATTTAATCCATTCCTTCAGACCAAGCAGTTTTCTCTCTCTCTCTCTCTCTGCCTAGACTTCATTTTTTTTTATTGTTGAAAGTATTATAGATGTTCCCCCTTTTTCCCTCCATTGACCCCCCTCCTCCATGCTCCCACCCTTCCTGTTTTCCCCAAACTATTGTCTGTGTCCATTGGTTGTGCATACATGCATATAAGCTCTTTGATTTATCTCATTCCACCCCCCAATCCTCTGAGGTTTGTCAGTCTGTATCCTACAGTACTTCCATGTCTCCGGATCTAATTTGGTTGACAGCTTATTTTGTTCATGATATTCCATAAATAAGTGAAATCATGTGGTACCTGTCTTTCTCTGACTCTTATTTTTCTTAAAGGGCCTGCCTATCACTAAAAGAAGATATATTTTATTACTTTTTAAATTAAAAAAAAAAACTTTACTACATTAAAAGTATGTGCATCAAGCAGAAGAGCTCGGGAGATGCTCAGGTTCTCCCCCACTCTTTTTTTTCCATCATTGACAACAGTCACCTTGGGTCTGGCATCTGGTGTCCAGGGTCCCAGGAAAGGAGAGGCTGTGGCTCTGCTAATGGGTGGTATATAGGCCACAGTTCAGTTCCAACCAAATAACTCCAGATAGTTTGTATGTCAATTTTCTACCTTGCAAAACTGAAAGCCAGTGACTCAATTTGGTTCATGGCTACTCACTGTTAAGTCTCAACGTGTATTGCAGTTGTTCTTCCAACTGCTAATGGACAAAGAGGATACAGAAGTCAGTACTTGGCTGGACTTCAGGCACCGGGAAAAGTCTGGAGTGGGTTACTGCCATTGCCACATAGGTTAGCATCACAGACAAGAGGATGAGGAAGTAGGGTGACACCATCATCCACATGACAGACTTGAATGGATGTTTGTTATGTATCTTCTGCTGTGACATGTCCCAATATTTTTTTGGATTTGGTTCAAAGGCACTGTGGATGTGTTCAATCAGGCAGTTGTATGAAATATCCTAGCACCTGCCCAAGTCAGAATGACTCCCTTTGCTTGTCTAGGATTTATTTTCATACCCAGAGGCAGAAGTTAGTCTAAGATTTCACCATCCTTTTATCCTTATTAAATTCAATATTTAGTAGTAATTACTATTATCCACACTACTATAAACCTTTTGCCAAGAGGGATGTGTGGGATGGGTTAGTAAATGTCCAAAGAGTTCTGGGCTCCAAGTTGACAAAACTTGCTTGAGCAAGGCAGGTGATATAGAGCCCTCCACCAAGTTCTGGGTGCATAACCAAGCAACAGTACCCAAATGGGTTGCCTTCTCAGTGCTTTACTACATTCCTCAAGGTATAAATTGTAGGGCCCAAGGACACCCAATTGTATGACTCAACTCCTTGACATAAAGGGGAAAATGTCTTCCTGTTCTCTACTAACAATAATAATAAAAACCTCAAGCAAATGTAAACTCCAATCACATTGAGATTTTTAATTAAAATTTGGCAATAAT